TCAGATTGGGAGAAAATAATAGCGAACGAAGCAACAGACAAAGGATTAATCTCAAAAATATAAAAGCAACTCCTCCAGCTCAACTCCAGAAAAATAAATGACCCAATCAAAAAATGGGCCAAAGAACTAAACAGACATTTCTCCAAGGAAGACATACAAATGGCTAGCAAACACATGAAAAGATGCTCAACATCACTCATTATTAGAGAAATGCAAATCAAAACCACAATGAGGTACCATTACACTCCAGTCAGGATGGCTGCTATCCAAAAGTCTACAAGCAACAAATGCTGGAGAGGGTGTGGAGAAAAGGGAACCCTCTTACACTGTTGGTGGGAATGCAAATTAGTACAGCCACTATGGAAAACAGTGTGGAGATTTCTTAAAAAGCTGGAAATAGAACTGCCATATGACCCAGCAATCCCACTTCTGGGCATACACACTGAGGAAACCAGATCTGAAAGAGACACATGTACCCCAATGTTCATGGCAGCACTGTTTATAATAGCCAGGACATGGAAGCAACCTAGATGCCCATCAGCAGACGAATGGATGAGGAAGCTGTGGTACATGTACACCATGGAATATTACTCAGCCATTAAAAAGAATTCATTTGAATCAGTTCTAATGAGATGGATGAAACTGGAGCCCATTATACAGAGTGAAGTAAGCCAGAAAGATAAAGACCATTACAGTATACTAACACATATATATGGAATTTAGAAAGATGGTAACGATAACCCTATATGCAAAACAGAAAAAGAGACTCAGATGTATAGAACAGACTTGTGGACTCTGGGAGAAGGCGAGGGTGGGATGTTTCAAGAGAACAGCATCGAAACATGTATATTATCTAGGGTGAAACAGATCACCAGCCCAGGTTGGGTGCATGAGACAAGTGCTCGGCCTGGTGCAGTGGGAAGACCCAGAGGGATCGGGTGGAGAGGGAGGTGGGAGGGGGGACCGGGATGGGGAATACATGTAAATCCATGGCTAATTCATTTCAGTGTATGACAAAAACCACTGCAATGATGTAAAGTAATTAGCCTCCAACTAATAAAAATAAATGAAAAAAAAAAAACATGGAGACAAATGTTGCACACAATATTGTTTATATTTGGTAACAGAATATTATTATTGTTTTTTTTTTAAATTTATTTATTTATTTATTTTTTATCACAACCATAGTGTATCTTTTTTTTTTTTTTACATGTATTCCCCATCCCGGTCCCCCCTCCCACCTCCCTCTCCACCCAATCCCTCTGGGTCTTCCCAGTGCACCAGGCCCGAGCACTTGTCTCATGCACCCAACCTGGGCTGGTGAACTGTTTCACCCTAGATAATATACGTGTTTCAATGCTGTTCTCTTGAAACATCCCACCCTCGCCTTCTCCCTTATACAATGTACTATGTGTAGAGCACCTATAGAAATACCAACTCAAACAATGGAAGTTAATAATCAGATACCTCCTTTCTTACATGTCATATTTTATGGATGTAATTTTACCAGAAACTGACTGATCTTATAATTAAGAATCAATTTTTTTCAAAATCATTCTAATACTTACAGAGTGCTTGTTATGTCCCTAGCAATCAGGTGCTTTAAAACCATGACCACATTTCATCTTCAAAACAACCTCATGAGGTTGATAGTCTTAATATCTCCATTTTACAGATGAAGTAACAGGCTTGTAAGGATCAATCAGTCAAAACCTCACACGTGATCAACAGAGAAACTGGGATTCAATTCCTGAATCTTCTGATTCCTAGACCTTGGAGTTGATGTCATCAGCCTGAATTGATGTTGCCAGTGTGATTACTTCATGTCTCCCTATTCTGTTACAGAAAAGTTTCAGCTCAATGGACTTAAACAATTACTTCAATCTAATCTAGTATAATACATTTAGTTGTTTTTAATATATGTTATATAAAAAACGTTGCTTTTATAAAGACAGTAATGACAATCTTACATGTAAGACAGCAAAGGAGACAGATGTAAAGAACAGACTTTTGGACTCAGTGGGAGAAGGTGATGGTGGGATGATTTGAGAGAATAGCATTGAAACATGTATATTAACATATGTAAAATTGATGGCCAGTGCAAGTTTCATGTATGAAACAGGTCACCCAAAGTCAGTACTCTGGGACAACCCAGAGGGATAGGGTGGGTAGGGAGGTGGGAGGTGGGTTCAGGATGGGAGGACATATGTACACCCGTGACCAATTCATGCTGATGTATGGCAAAAATCATCACAGTATTGTAATTATCCTACACTTAAAATAACAAAATTTTTAATAAATATTACTTTTTCTTGGCTTTTCCTCCAGGATTTGGGGGAGGTGGAAGTAAGGAGAACAATAAGGAGAAATGTTTACTATATTTATGTGGATGGATAGATGGATGGAGAGAAAAAGGTTAGAATAGCAACAATGGTCATCATTTACTGAAACTCTGGTTTGCTTACATTTCACAGGCATTTTCTGTAATCTTTAGAGTAACCCCACCCCTCCCCCATTTAATAAGAACGGAAACTGAGACAAACACTTGGAGTCACTACCCAGGACTGTTTCTCTCCAAAGGCCAAGCCTTTTTTACCAGACGTGCTGTCTCTGTGTCTACGGCCAGACTAACTCCAGGATGCCACTATTTCCTGTGCCTACCTTATGTCCATCCACTGATACCTGGAATCCAAAAGGAGATAAGCAGATGCTCTCATAACTTACTAAGTGGTTCCCAGGTGTTATAAAGACCTTGCTAACCGCTTGTTAATCAGAGTCATAGATGACATTTCAGAGCAGCAAGAAAACCTCCTTGAAACCCTCTGACCCAATGTCCTCATTTTGCTGCAGAAACGTCAGAGGCACAGCAGGTAACAGGACATGTCCAGAATGACAGCAGGCAAGTGATGAACCCGGGGTCAGAACTCTCCTCTCTGCTATTTCTCCACATTGGGCTTCCCTTCCTGCCAAGGAGGGGATGGGCATGAGGGACCCAACTCCATGCCCCAACTATGCAGCAGAACATGAGAGCAGTCCATATTTATAGACGTCACATCACGTACAGAGGAACTGCTGTGCATCCCAGTCCTCAGGGCCCCTTCCACCAAAGTCTGTGCTGCACACATGCCCCATGGTGGGTGAAGCCCCAGAACACTGCCCACATTAGTGGTCCAGTCACCCCACGAGGCTGCAGCAAAGCATTGGTCCCAAGGATCTGAACCTGAGCTACAAATGTAGAGATGAGGTGTCTCATCTGTCCAGGCCTCAGTTTTAATAACTATAAAATGAAGATGGGAATATTGAAGACACTCATAAAGAATGAATAACTCATAAACCTTTTTACATCTGTGCACGCACATCTGTAAAAGGCAGAAAAATAATCTGCACATGGACTCTGAATTAATGGAAACTACTGTTCTCACTGTTCCATGTTTGCTTTCCCTTCTTACATGGTATCTAGACCATTTAATAAAAATCTAGCTCATCCCTGCTAACTTGACATCATTTCTGCCAATGTAGTCACCCATGAACAAGAGCCTGGAAGAAAGAAACGAGCCCATTAAACAAGCAATTCTGTTTGTCCACATCAGTGTAAAATGCTGCTTACCTGATGCAGAGCGTCCCAGGTGGCGCTAGTGGTAAAGTACCCACCCGCCAATGCAGGAGACAGAGACTCACTCAGGTTTGATTCCTGGGTTGGGAAGATCCACTGGGGAAGGAAATGGCAACCCACTCCAGTATTCTTGCCTGGAGAATCACATGGACAGAGGAGTCTGGAGGGCTATAATCCATAGTGCCGCAGATCTGGACACGACTGAGGTGACTTAGCACACACACAAACACCTGATACAACCTATGATGTTCAGGCCATTGTTTGAGAATTAACATTTCCTCACAAAGCAGATTTGGAGCCTTCAACACCACGCCTTTGAAAATCTGTCCCTGTCTTTTCCTCACAGTACAAAAGAGCAATCAGATATCCAGACTGCACTGAACAGACCCCAGGGGAGACTTTTAATGTTGTTATTCACTGATTTTTTACAACCTGAGAGAGTAACATTGTATTTAACATTATTTTCCCTTTTTCCTTTATTTTTACCAAATTGTACTCTTCTATTGCTTAAGTTTAGTTATCATTTATTCACTAATCTTATTTAATTCCCAACATACAGTTCAACCTTTCATCTTACCATTCTCTGTGAAACTCAATGCCATTTCTGAAAACAATCTCCCTCAGTAAAATTAAGCAGTATTAAAAAGAAATTTTAGAACATTCTGTTTTCTTTAAGTAATCAGTTATGAGTCAAAAGTGAAGTGGAGAGAGAAACTCACAGACTGAAAGGGATCAAGGAGGCATCAGCCAAGTGCAGGGGACAGACCTTATGTGGGTTCCAACAGTGGTGAAGATTTCTCAGTGAGATGATCAACAGCATGTAAATACAGACTTGCAGGTGGATGATATTCAGGAATTTGAGGTATTTTATCACGTGCAATAAAGAAATGATTTTTTTTCCCTAAAGCTTTCCTATCTTTTAGAGAAAAATAATGAAATGTTTACAGATGAACTAATTTGAGGTCTAGGATCTGCTCCATAATACTCTGAGGTGGGGGCGGGGGTGGCTGGCAGAGAGCAGGGGTAGGGATGCAGCAAGACTGGCCACCAGCTGATTCTGGCTGAAGCTGGGGGTGGGTACATGAAGGTTCATTATACCATGCTCTCTATTTTTGTAAATATTTGTAACTTTCCACTAAAAAGAGTTGAAAGTGAATGAAAACTTCACAGAATCCCCCTTTCAGATAATGTATTCTGTGTGTTATTAACCTACAAGAATTAAAACGATAGCATATGTACGCCTGCTTACTTATCCAGAAGACTAACTTAAATATTAAACAAACTTCAAAAACCCATTTTTTAAAAAGAACTTTTAACCAATCCTGTAGTTTAAACCAGTATCATTATTTGAAATTCAAGTATATGCAACTTAGAAGTCATTGCTCACCTCTTCCAAAGCACAAGCCTTTATTACTTCTTCATATCGTTCCTTTTCATATTTCTTCCCAAATAAAATGTTACTCCTCACAGTTCCTGGAAACACCCAGGGCTGCTGAGAAACATACGCGATCCTCCCGTGCACGCGGACCTTCCCCTGGCTCGGGGGCAGCTCTCCCAGCACAGCGCTCAACAGTGACGACTGAAACAGACAGGAACACACACACGTGAACAGGGAGCACTCAGGACAGAACACGCCCCACAGCACAGCCGACCCCACCCTGGTGCTTGATACATGATAGAACCCGTTCCTTCAACAGGATAAAGTACAGCCCACTCAATTGAGACAAAAAAAAAGAAAGAAAGAAAGAAAGAAACTAACACTAATGGTCAATGAAAAGGACTGATAAGGAATATATTAATAGTACAAACAATCTACTTGGCCTGAAAGTGAAAGTGAAGTCTCTCAGTCGTGTCAGACTCTTTGTGACCACATGAGCTGTAGCCTGCCAGGATCCTCCATCCATGGAATTTTCCAGGCAAGAGTACTGGAGTGGGTTCCCATTTCCTTTTCCAGGGGATCTTCCCGACCCAGGGATCGAACCCAGGTCTCCCTCACTGTAGGCAGATGCTTTGCTGACTGAGCCACCAGGAAAGTCCCTGAGTATCCCCCCAAATGAAATTCTACTCAGCAAAGAATAATTGAGAATGCTTTACATCCTTCTCTAACAAAGCTCGGCAGGATGTGTATTTTATGTATCTGATGTTAAGTGCAATTATTCCTGCATCTGGTATCCTTTACTTGACAAACACTTGTTATTAAAAAGCTATGTGTGAAGAATATAGCCAGAGATGGTTAACTGAAAGAACTCTCAAATGAGTTGTATCTGCAGAGCAAAAGCCCTTCATAAAGGAAATTAGCACCCTTTCATGTACACATCCCACATTTTAAAAAATAATTTATTTATTTTTAGTTCTTTCAGTTTTTTCATTTATTTTTTACAATGTTGTGTTGGTTTCTGCCATACCACATTTCTAATTCTTTTATTTATTTTTGCTTGCACTGGGTCTTCATTGCAGTGCATGGATTTTCTTATTGAGGAGCACAGGCTCTAGTGGCAGGCCTCAGCAGCTGTGGCCCATGGGCTCAGTCGTTGCAGCTCCCAGGCTCTAGAGCAGAGGCCCCACAGCTGTGGTGCACGGGCTTAGTTGTTCCACAACTGGGAAGTGAGAACTTCCCAGACTAAGGATCAAACCTGGGTCTCCTGCATTAGTAGGTGGATTCTTTTACCACTGAGCCACCAGGGAAGCCCACATCCCACATTAGATTTCTGTATTTTGTTGTTTCAGACCAAGTGCATGTGCACCTTTCCTTTCAATCTTCAACATCATACAGATGTGGCGTGTATGTATCCAAACCATCAGAGTGCTCATGACACTGGGCTGAAATAACATATCTGCATATCTGTCTCACCCCAGAACATGGTTGCCTCTGAAAAGCAGAGAGTTAGGGTCTTGCTCACATCTGTACCTTTATCTCCAGCACGTGGCTGCACATTCACTACATGTGCACTGATGGGATCATGTCAAATTACAGGAGGAAATGCTCAAAGCTTCCGGAAAGAGCCTTTATGACCTCCAGACTTCCTGGAAGGGCCACTAAGATGAAAAGAAGTCCTCATTGTCTCTTGTCTATCCTGAACAGCTGTCACATAAATAATTTTCTTCACTGAGATGTCCAAATCACCCACAGGCAGTTCCTAACAGGGCAATGTGAAGCACCAAGAAGGAAAAGACAGTGGGGGGTTATCCTGATTTATTTAGCCATGAAACATTCTTGTAAAATGAATGTTCGATGGAACACACTTAGAGAGATGCTGTTCTAGATACACTCAGTGCAAACTGAGTCACACACAGATCTGGGCTCAATTCTGAGAATTTAACAGCGGCTGTGGTGTTGCATCACCATAACTTACCTTTCCTGCTCCCACATGTCCAACCACAGCTAACAGTTCACCAGGTCTGACAGTAAAGGAAAGTTCTTGTAGGGCTGGGGTCACTGATGCCTACAAATTAAAGTTTTTAATTTAATTTAACTTACCCATTTTAATAAAGTACCACTTTTTTTAGAAAGTGGAAAATATAACAATAATCAACATAATTAATATGCAAAATATAACCCACATTTTTCTGTTTCCTATTTTAAGATATTGTGTCCTAGAGGCCTCTTCATAATCTTATCTCTTTGGGGATTGGAGGCAGCTTTAGCTGACTTTAGGGAAGTTCCTTCTTTTACTAGATTCCCATATGGACAGAAGAATGTTCCAACTACTGCACAACTGAGCTCATTTCACACGCTAGCAAAGTAATGCTCAAAATTCTTCAAGCTAGGCTTCAGCAGTACGTGAACAGAGAAATTCCAGAAATTCCAACCTGGAATTAGAAAAGGCAGAAGAACCAGAGAGCAAATTGCTAATACCTGTTAGAGCACAGAAAAAGCAAGGTAATTCCTGAAAAACATCTACTTCTGCTTCATTGACTAAGCATTTGACAGTGTGGATCACAACAAACTGTAGAAAATTCCTAAAAAGATGGGAATACCAGACCACATTACCTGTCACCTGATAAATCTGTATGCAGGTCAAGAAGCAATAGCTAGAACCAGACATGCAACAACCTACTGGTTAAAAATCAGGAAAGAAGTACGTCAATGTTGTATATGGCCGTCCTGCTTGTTTAACTTTTAGGCAGACCACGTGATGCAAAATGCCAAGCTAGATGAATCACAAAATGGAATCTAGAATTCTGACAGAATATCAACAATCTCAAACATGCAGATGATGGCAGAGAGTAAAGAGGAACTAAAGAGCCTCTTGATGAAGGTGAAAGGGGAGAGTGAAAAAGAGTGAATGTTGGCTTAAAACTCAGCATTCGAAAATCTAAGATCATGGCATCTGGTCCCATCACTTCATGGAAAATAGAAAGGGAGAAAGTGGAAACAGTGGCAGGTTTTATTATAAAGTTACTACAGACAGTGACTGCAGCCATGAAATTCAAAGATGCTTACTCCTTGGAAGAATAGCTATTGCAAACCTAGACTGTGTATTAAAAAGTTGACATTACTTTGCCGATAAAGGTCTGTATAGTCAAAGCTATGGTTTTTCCAGTAGTCATGTATGGATGTGAGAGTTGGACCATAAAGAAGGCTGAGTGCCAAAAAATTGATGCTTTTGAACTGTAGTGTTAGAGAAGACTCTTGAGAGTCCCTTGGACAGCAAGGAGATCAAATAAGTCAATCCTAAAGGAAATCAATCTTGCATATTCATTGGAAGGACTGATGCTGAAGCTGAAACTACAATACTTTGGCCACCTGATATGAGGAGCCAACTCATTGGAAAAGACCCTGATGCTGGGAAAGATTGAAGGCAGGAGGAGAAGGGGACCACAGAGGATGAAATGGTTGGATGGCGTAATCTACTCATCTGGGAGATTGGTGAAGGACAGGGAAGTCTGGCGTGCTAGTCTATGGAGTTGCAAAGATTTGGACATGACTGAGCGACTGAACAACAACAACAGCAGAAACACTGGAGTGGCAGTCCATCCCATGGACAGAGGGGCCTAGTGGGCTACAGTCCACAGGGTCACAAAGACTCAGACACAACTGAAGCGACTGACACTTCACACTTCAGCTCAAAATATTAGATCTGGGTTTTCAAGAAAAGATGTATTTGTGCTCTATATCTTTTGTTTAAGGTGATCCTATTATATAGCACAGGGAATTATATTTAATACTCTGTAATAAAACATAATGAAAAATAAGCTAAAAGTTAAAAGAAGAATTTATGTACTTTAAGTTGAACATGTGCTAATACACTGAAAGCTCTCTTGAAAATGAGAAAAACAGCAAGATGTCAATTGCCTCAGGCTGATTTTACACTTAATTTCCATTCATTGCAAACCATATTCCATTCATTGCAAACCTTATTCCTGATTCTGACAATTTTTACAACATATTCTCAGTAAATGAGCAAGTCACATTTTACAGTATGTGTAAAATCTCAAAATTCTCCAATAAATCTATGTCACAGTTGTCTATTAGCAGTTACAGTTTTAGAATGGAAGGTTTCTTACCTTTTCCCAAGAAGCTGTAAAAGCTTGCACTTCCACAATAGTTTTACCATCTGATGGCAGCAGAGGGTAGCACTGTGTTATCTCATCAAGTAACAGAAAGTTCTACAGAAAAAGGCAAAATGTAGATTGTTTATACCGCAAGAACAAAGGACAAACAAAACAATTGCTTCTCTTGAATTTGCAATAAAAAGTTTTATACCTATCATTTATACCTACCTATCATTTTATTACTGTATTTTATTAGGTATTAGTTCATATGAGAAATATTAAATAATATATAGTATGTAATATATTATGTTTATAGTATATGTACATCTAAGTATATAATATAGTACAGCATATATATAATATAGCATATACATACATATATATAGTATGTGTGCATGTGTGTGCGTGTGTATGCATGTATAAAAAAGATAAATAAAGAGCTCCTGTCCATGGGGCTCTCTTTATTACCTTCTCAACAAGTATAATGTTTCCTCTCTAAAAAGAGAATATGGCTTCAAACTCCAGTACATTTAGAACCTGGACATTTTCACTGTTTTACTTTTCTGTTACCAACAATAAACAGGTGAGCTGGTAGGAAATTATTTCATAAATACTAACTGAATCCCACTATGTGCCAAGCACCATGCAATACTGCTAGAACACAGAGGAAGGCCCTTCCCAGGCCGTCAGGAAGCAGATGGCACAGGACAGGCTGGGAACACAAGACCAATGACAGAGACTCTGAGTGCAAACCCTGTACACTCTGCTTTCCTCCTCGAGTGTGTCAATACCACATCACTGCTTGTCATAAATTATCACTTAAGTCATCATTCTAAAAAGAAAATTGTCTTAAGTTTCTATCTCTTAAAAAATATCTCACAAGCATCTTTTCACAATCACTGCCTCTTCTTAGTCAATGCCCTCTCTCCTCCACAGCAGGAGTGGCCGCACTTCCCACTTCTTGTTATCTTCTACACCACTTTTTAGCTGACTGATGCAAAGTAGCTGAAGAAAACAAAGTCTTATAAGCCCTACAAAGCTGACAAACACATGCAAGAAAATTCCCTCTTGCCTTGCAAATGCTAGACATAATTCAATGAGAAAAGCTAGAGCAATAGAGAAATTGAACAAACAACTTAGACCACTCCCACTCCCCAAGGTCCCCAAAACTGTGAACACGGGGCAGAGACTGCTGGCTGTTCTTGAAATGTGCTCTCTTTCTTCTGAGGTAACAAACCCCGGATTTTACCTGCATGTGGCAACCTGGAAGGAGGCCCTCTGTCTCTAGACACTTGAGCAGACACGAGAGCCCCGTGACTAAATCCAGAGCAGTGGGGAGTGACAGCAACCAGGACCTTCCTCCACCCGAAGGCCTGGGCCTTGGAGGCTGCCAGCGGGGTCAAGTCACATGCAGTGAAGTAACATTAAGAAGAGAGAAAGAGTCTGAGTCCCAACACCAGAGGTTCACACTAGTCATGGGACTTGTCATGGGGAGAATTGTATCCTCACAAAAAAGATACCTCCTGACCCCAGTTAGCTCAAAATGTGGCTTTATTTGGAAATTTTGTTGTTGTCAATATAATCAATTAAAGTGAGGTCACAGTGGAGTAGGGTGGGCCCTGAATACAATATGACTTGAGTCCTCATGAGAAATGCAGAGACAGATAGATACGCAAAAAAACAGCTACCTGATGATGGAGACAAAGGCTGGGGTGATGGCTTTCAAGCCAAGGAATGCCAAGGTTTGCCTGCAACCACTCAGAGCTAGCAAAGGCAAGAAAGGATGCTCCTTTATCGGATTCAGAGGGTTCCTGACCCTGCTGACACTTTGATTTCAGACTTCTAGCCTCCAGGACTGTGAAACAAAACATTCCTGTGGTTTTAAGCCACATGGTTTATGGTATTTTTTATCAGCAGTCCCAGGAAACCCATTCAGAGCCTCACAAGGATTCTTGCATGAGAGAAAAACAAATGGACCCTGTAAGCAGCTTTAACCTGGGTAACTTTGGGACCCACAGGCAAACTGAATCCTTACTAACACGGGGGGGTGCAACTGAAACAAGCATGTGAGGATGTTTGAGAAAGAAAATAACACATAAATAGTAATTTACTACCTTAAACATCTTGACACCCCATCTATCATGCCTCAGAGTCATAAATGTGATTGCAAACTTCTACTTAAAAAGAAGAATGGGTAAAAACTAAATGTGAAAACCATTCTGCAGGAAAAGAAAGACAGGATCCTTTCATTTCTGTCAAATATCAGCTGGTGGAAGATGCTATTCATTCATTCCTTCCTCCTCTCATCCAAGCTCACTCAGAACCTAACACTGAGCACAGTGACTCTTACCATCCCCAAGCCCATGTCCACCAGGAGGCAGGATGGATGGATGGTGGTCTGAGGACAGGATCACGGCTTTCTGAGTTCTTTCCCCATACCACCTCTCCCATCATCAGCCAGGTACCAGCTCTCACCTGTTCTGACACAATTCATCTCTCTCCCAATTCTCTTTTCTTCTTGAAACAACATAACTTCAGAATCTCACTCACTATTAGTTATTTCAATAATGCAACTTTTCTTTTGCTGGTTCCTTCCCTAGCCCTCCCCAACACCTCTGACCCTACCCCAAGACAATTCCCTCCTGATCTCCTTACAGCATCTCTGAGTGTCCACAAGCTTAACACCCCCAGTGACCCACCAGCACCTAAGTCCACACTCCCCAGGCGGCCTCTGCCTGGACACCCTGAGTACGGACCCCACCCATCCTTCTGGCCCATCTCAAATACTAACCCTTCTGGGAACCAGCTCAGCACATCCCCAGCTGGCACTGCCCTCCCTACTTCTGAATCCCCAGAGGAATATTAAGTCAGATATAGGGGAGACACTACATCATTCATGCACCTTTACAGTCCCAACTCCAACTAAGACCAAGCCTTACACAGTTAGCCCATCAAGGGCATCAGCTACAGGAAGGAACAGATTGCACGGTTGTTCAAACCAGCCAACCACTGACTGCATGACTACAGCCTTACATAGTCTAAGCTGACATAGCAACAAGCAAAAGGTGATGAGACAGGCTGGGACCTGGGACCCTCTATGGGAGCACTTGCACCTGGACAAACGTCTCTTGAGCAACAAAACACAAAGAAAACATAAGGGACTAAACATACCTGCACACATGGAAAGGCACTTACGAACAGTAAGATATAAAAATACCACAAGCCAACTACCATTTTTGAGCTGCTGGGAGTAAAGCAGGGAACTGTGTACGATCTTGGTACATGGCAGACTACTTAAGTCACCCCTGTGGCTCAAACACCAATCCGCCCCTACCCTCTTCCCACTTAAGGAACCAGCCCACCCTTCTCAAAGAGTCAACAGGGCATCAGTTTCTTGTTTCCACACTTTGTGATGCAGCAAAAAAAAAAAAAAAAAAGCCTCAGTAAAGCCTTGCTTGAATTTCTTGTCTGGCCTATTATCAACTTCTATTGATTAAAAAGACCAAGGGCCCTGGAGAGTAATAAATGTGTTATATATCTGGTGTAGACAGAATCAAATACAGTTTCAGCTTAAGCATGTAAAAAGACATCAATACTCCATGTGTATACATTCGAATAGAAATTCCTCACTTTCAAACAAAAAAGAAAGAAAAGGAAAATTATGCCCTAAGTGAAGAATTAAATTTATTAAGCACTTGTCCACAAATAATAGTTCTGAGGGGGACAGATGTCACAGTCTTCCAAGGATTAAATGAGACCCCATTCAATACATGATCAGCTCATAAAGGTGCCAGAAACGCTGGCTGAATTTTTCTGCAAGACTCAGTCTGATGAAAAAGCTGAAATTAAATGGCCATTAGAGCCATGAAGCGCAGACCCAGAACAGGAAATGCAGGAAAGTATCAATGCCAGAACTGCAGCCAAAAAAACTGACTTGCTCATTACTGGTTATGGGAAACCTAAAGCTGCTTTCTGAACAATATAACCTCAGAGACATATTTTACTAGATGTTTAAGTTATTGAAGACTTCTAGTGAGTGCTTTAAAGTTGAGATCTTTTGCAATCCTATTGGAGTCATCCAGTGCTAAGACCATGGGTCCCCCTTCCTCACTTAGAGAAAAATAGAGACACTTCTTGGGCTTATGAGGTCATAGTAAATAATTCATTTTCAGAGAGCTGATTTAATCTTCACGTTAAACAGAAATACTTGAACATCTACTGTGTGCCAGGCCCTTGTCTTCGTGATAAAATTATCTATCCCTGACTATTTAGGGACAGTTAATTTTTTTTTAATTTAATTAATTAATTTATTTTAATTGGAGGCGAATTACAATATTGTAGTGGTTTTTGCCACACATTGACATGAATCAGCCATGGGTGTACATGTGTCCCCCATCCTGAACCCCCCTCCCACCTCCCTCCCCATCCCATCCCTTTGGGTCATCCCAGTGCACCAGCCTGAACACCCTGTCTTATGCTTCAAACCTGGACTGGCGATTTGTTTCACATACAGTAATATACATGCTTCGATGCTATTATCTCAAATCATCCCACCCTCATCTTCTCCCACAGAGTCCAAAAGTCTGTTCTTCACATCTGTGTCTCTTTTGCTGTCCCGCATATAGGGTCATCATACCATCTTTCTAAATTCTATATATATATATATATATATATATATATTAATATACTGTATTGGTGTTTTTCTGACTTCTTTCACTCTGTATAATAGAATCCAGTTTCATCCACCTAATTAGAACTTATTTAAATGAATTCTTTTTAATAGCTGAGTAATATCCCATTGTGTATATGCACCACAGCTTTCTTCTCCATTCGTCTGCCAATGGACATCTAGGATGCTTCCATGTCCTGGCTATCGTAAACAGGGCTGTGATGAACACCGTGGTGCACGTGTCTCTTTTCAACTCTGGTTTCCTCAGTGTGTATGTCGAGCAGTGGGATTGCTGGGTCGTACGGCAGTTCTATTTTCAGTTTTTCAGAGAATCTCCACGCTGTTCTCCATAGTGGCTGTCAGCTAAGTTCAGTTCAGACACTCAGTCGTGTCCAACTCTTTGCGACCCCATGAATCGCAGCACACCAGGCCTCCCTGTCCACCACCAACTCCCGGAATTTACTCAAATTCATGCCCATCGAGTCGGTAATGCCATCCAGCCATCTCATCCTCTGCCGTCCCTTTCTCCTCCTGCCCCCAATCCCTCCCAGCATCAGGGTCCTTTCCAATGAGTCAACTCTTTGCATGAGGTGGCCAAAGTACTGGAGTTTCAGCTTCAGCATCAGTCCTTCCAATGAACACCCAGGACTGATCTCCTTTAAGATGGACTGGCTGGATCTCCTTGCAGTCCAAGGGACTCTCAAGACTCTTCTCCAACACCACAGTTCAAAAACATCAATTCTTCAGTGCTCAGCTTTCTTCACAGTCCAATACTCACATCCATACATGACCACTGGAAAAACCATAGCCTTGACCAGATGGACCTTTGTTGGCAAAGTAATGTCTCTGCTTTTTAATATGCTATCTAGGTTGGTCATAACTTTCCTTCCAAGCAGTAAACATCTTTTAATTTCATGGCTGCAGTCACCATCCGCAGTGATATTGGAGCCCAAAAAAATGAAGTCTGACACATTTTTCACTGTTTCTCCATCTATTTACCATGAGGTGATGGGACCAGATGCCATGATCTTAGTTTTCTGAATGTTGAGCTTTAAGCCAACTTTTTCACTCTCCTCTTTCAGTTTCATCAAGAGGGTATTTAGTTCTTCTTCACTCTCTTCCACAAGGGTGGTGTCATCTGCATATCTGAGGTTATTAATATTTCTCCCTGCAATCTTGATTCCAGCTTGTGCTTTGTCTAGCCCAGCGTTTCTCATGATGTACTCTGCATATAAGTTAAATAAGCAGGGTGACAATATACAACCTTGACGCCACTCTTTTTCCTATTTGGAACCAGTTTATTGTTCCATGTCCAGTTCTAACTGTTGCTTCCTGACCTGCATACAGGTTTCTCAAGAGGCAGGTCAGGTGGTCTGGTATTTCCATCTCTTTCTGTTTGTTTTCAAGGCAAATCATTCAATATTATGGTAATCCAAGTCTATGCCCCAACCAGTAACGCTGAAGAAGCTGAAGTTGAACGGTTCTATGAAAACCTACAAGACCTTTTAGAACTAACACCCGAAAAAGATGTCCTTTTCATTATAGGGGACTGAAATGCAAAAGTAGGGAGTCAGGAAACACCTGGAGTAACAGGCAAATTTGGCCTTGGAGTATGGAATGAAGCAGGGCAAGGATAATAGAGTATTGCCAAGAGAATGCACTGGTCATAGCAAACACCCTCTTCCAACAACACAAGAGAAGACTCTACAAATGGATATCACCAGATGGTCAACACCAAAATCAGATTGATTATACTCTGTGCAGCCAAAGATGGAGAAGCTCTATACAGTCAGCAAAAACAAGAGCAGGAGCTGACTGTGGCTCAGATCATGAAATCCTTATTGCAAAATTCAGACTTAAACTGAAGAAAGTAGGGAAAACCACTAGACCATTCAGATATGACCTAAATCAAATCCCTTAGGACTATACAGTGGAAGTGAGAAATAGATTTAAGGGACTAGATCTGATAGACAGAGAGCCTGATGAACTATGGATGGAGGTTCGTGACAGTGTACAGGAGACAAGGATCAAGACAATCCCCAAGGAAAAGAAATGCAAAAAGGCAAAATGGTTGTCTGAGGTGGCCTTACAAATAGCTGTGAAAAGAAGAGAAGTGAAAAGCAAAGGAGAGAAGAAAGATATTCCCACTTGAATGCAGAGTTCCAAAGAATAGCCAGGAGAGATAAGAAAGCCTTCCTCAGCGATCAATGCAAAGAAATAGAGGAAAACAACAGAATGGGAAAGACTAGAGATCTTTTCAAAAAAATTAGAGATACCAAGGGAACATTTCAGGCAAAGATGGGTTCTATAAAGGACCGAAATGGTATAGACCTATCAGAAGTAAAAGATATTAAGAGGTGGCAAGAATACACAGAAGAACTGTACAAAAAAGATCTTCACGACCCAGATAATCACAATGGTGTGATCACTCACCTAGAGCCAGACATCCTGGAATGTGAAGTCAAGTGGGCCTTAGAAACCATCACTATGAACAAAGCTAGTGGAGGTGATGGAATTCCATTTGAGCTAATTCTGAAAGATGATGCTATGAAAGTGCTGCACTCAATATGCCAGAAAATTTGGAAAACTCAGCAGTGGCCACAGGACTGGAAAAGGTCAGTTTACATTCCAATCCCAAAGAAAGGCAATCCCAAAGAATGCTCAAACTACCGAACAATTGCACTCATCTTACACGTTAGTAAAGTAATGCTCAAAATTCTCCAAGCCAGGCTTCAGCAATACGTGAACCATGAACTTCCAGATGTTCAAGCTGGTTTTAGAAAAGGCAGAAGAACCAGAGATCAAATTGCCAACATCTGCTGGATCATCAAAAAAGCAAGAGAGTTCCAGAAAAACATCTATTTCTGCTTTATTGACTATGCCAAAGCCTTTGACTGTGTGGATCACAATAAACTGTGGAAAATGCTTAAAGAGATGGGAATACCAGACCACCTGACCTGCCTCTTGAAAAACCTGTATGCAGGTCAGGAAGCAACAGTTAGAACTGGACATGGAACAACAGACTGGTTCCAAATAGGAAAAGGAGTATGTCAAGGCTGTATATTGTCACCCTGCTTATTTAACTTATATGCAGAGTACATCATGAGAAATGCTGGGCTGGAAGAAGCACACGCTGGAATCAAGATTGCTGGGAGAAATATCAATAACCTCAGATATGCAGATGATACCACCCTTATGGCAGAAAGTGAATAGGAACTGAAAAGCCTCTTGATGAAAGAAAAAGAGGAAAGTGAAAATGTTGCTTTAAAGCTCCACATTCAGAAAACTAAGATCATGGCATCTGGTCCCATCACTTCATGGCAAATATTGGGGAAACAGTGGAACAGTGTCAGATTTTATTTTTGGGGGCTCCAAAATAACTGAAGATGGTGATTGCAATCATGAAATTAAAAGATGCTTACTTCTTGGAAGGAAAGTTATGACCAACCTAGATAGCATATTGAAAAGCAGAGACATTACTTTGCCAACATAGGTCCATCTAGTCAAGGCTATGGTTTTTCCAGTGGTCATGTATGGATGTGAGTGTTGGACTGTGAAGAAAGCTGAGCACCGAAAAATTGATGCTTTTGAACTGTGGTATTGGAGAAGAGTCTTGAGAGTCCCTTGGACTGCAAGGAGATCCAGCCAGTCCATCTTAAAGGAGATCAGTCCTGGGTGTTCATTGGAAGAACTGATGCTAAAGCTGAAACTCCAATACTTTGGCCACCTCATGTGAAGAGTTGACTCATTGTACCCTGATGCTGGGAGGAATTGGGGGCAGGAGGAGAAGGGGACGACAGAGGATGAGGTGGCTGGATGGTATCACTGACTTGATGGACATGAGTTTGGGTAGGTTCCGGAAGTTGGTGATGGACAGGAGGCCTGGCGTGCTGCGATTCATGGGGTCGCAAAGAGTCGGACACGACTGAGCGACAGAACTGAACAGAACTGATAATGAGTGATGTTGAGCATCTTTTCATGTTTTTGTTAATCATGTTTTTGTTTGTATGTCTTCCATGGTGAAATGTCTGTTTAGTTCTTTGGTCCATTTTTTTGATTGGGTCATTTATTTTTCTAGAATTGAGCTACATGAGCTGCTTGTATATTTTTGAGATTAATTCTTTGTCAGTTTCTTCACTTGCTATTATTATCTCCTATTCTGAAGGCTGTCTTTTCACCTTGCTTATAGTTTCCTTCGTTGTGCAAAAGCTTTTAAGTTTCATTAGGTCCCATTTGTTTATTTTTGCTTTTATTTCCATTACTGTGGGAAGTGGGTCATAGAGGATCCTGCTGTGATTTCTGTCAGAGAAATGTTTTCCTCTAGGAGTTTATAGTTTCTGGTCTTATATTTAGATCTTTAATCCATTTTGAGTTTATATTTGTGTATAAAAAAGGAGATAATAGGTATGGTGGGAATCAGAAGTTTTTAGGGAAGAGGGGAACTAAAGACAGGCTTAGACACTAGGTAAAGTAAGTAGAGGAACAAAAATGCAGAGATCAGAAATCAACAAGAAAACATCTGTGAGTAAAGAATACATTTTTAAACACAGAGAACTAAGTGAATCTGAGGCTACACTTCCTGCCCAGGGAACAGGGACTTCTCAGCATGTTCCTCCCCTCCCGGCCCAGAGAGTAATCCCAGTCACCCCAGGACTGTGCACAGTCACTGCTTAGTCATTCCAGTCAGCACAGCAGATTCAATCTGTTTGCTTCGTCTGCTTTTAGACATTTTAATCATCCTGCAGCCATCACTGCACATCAAGAGCCTGTGCTGCTGCTCTTTATACTACTGGCCCTAAATGAGCATGGATCTCACAGGACTTTTAACGTACTTTACCTAAGAAGAGAGAGAAATACAAACATTTTGGAAAGACTGCTAGCTTTGTACTGAGAGTTAAATCTCACTTAACTGGCACACAGTGACACCACATAAAAAGAGGAGTTTTAGGTAAAATCCGCCTATAACTTAAAAAAGTTATTTTTCACTAAACCTTGACTCTTTGGATGCTGACAATGGCCTCTGACACCTTCTCGATGGCCATGGGGAAGTAGAGGGTGCTCGAAAACCGCAGAGCCTCGAACAGCATCACCACCACAAACACCTGGCTGGCTGTGATCAGGTTGTCAAGAAGCTCATTGGTGATGAAGGTGACAAAAATCATGATTTTGCTCACAGTGAAAAATGATGCCAAATTCATGCCCCTAAGGTAGGAACTTCTCATAATTTTGGAAATTTCCTTCCTGTAAAAGAAAGCAGGACAAAATTTTTATAAGAAGCATCAACATACAAGATGTGAATTCAATGCCCTGTGTGAGTGGTCCCTTTCTAGGGAGTAGACACAGATTGAGATAAACCATCCCTCACATCATGGAGACATTAGCATAGTGCACACTCAGGGGTCTGCCCGACACCAGGACCACACACTGCATCACCACTTCACTCTTTCAAGTAAAAGGAAGCTATCTGTCACAATTTCAAACATTTCGGGTCAGTCCAATGGGGTTTGAACATTCATTCCTCAAACATTCATAATCACAAGTCTATGCCAGGTTCCTCACAAAAAGACACAGCCTATCCCATCAAGTAGCTCATGAACTTGTAAGCGAAGAGAACTATCAGCCACAAAATTGGGAGACATTAGACAGAAATGGTCATCACAGCCCCCATGGGAGCTCAGAGCAGAGGCGTGTAACTCGGAGCAGTGGAGTCAGGGCAAGTCACACACATGTGGAGTCTGAGAAGATGAGCTGGAGTCAGTTAGGGCTGGCAGAGGCCAGAGAAGAAGGAAGATGGGAGTGTATCCCTAGGAGAGGGAGGGACCCCACAAAGGTGCAAAGTGAGAGCTGGCAACATGGGGTCAGAGAAATGTTCATCAGGTATTTAAATAAAAGTTGGAAAAACAGTCTACAAACATGAATATTATCATGTGTGAAACAGATTGCCAGTCCAGGTTTGATGCATCAGACAGGGTGCTCAGGGCCAGTGCACTTGACCCAGAGGGATGGGATGGGGAGGGACGCGGGAGGGGATTCAGGATGGGGGACACATGTACACCCATGGCTGATTCATGTCAATGTATGGCAAAACCACTACAAGATTGTAAAGTAATTAGCCTCCAATTAAAATAAATAAATTAAAAAAGAAACATGAAGCAAAACAAAAGGGACAGTACTTTCATAGCTCCATTTGAAAAGAATAACAGTGATCCATGAGCTTTGTTGGCGGTAAAGAATCCACCTGCAATGCAGGAGGCATGGGTTCAATCCCTGGGTTAGGAAGATCCTCTGGAGAAGGAAATGGCAACCCAGTCTGGTATTCCTGCATGGGAAATCCCATGTACAGATAAGCCTGGTGAGCTACAGTCCATGGGGTCACAAAGAGTCAGATATGAGTGACTGACTAAGCATGACAACAATGAAGAATAGTGATTCATATAGTTTGGCTCAATATAGGTACACCCAATCTCTATATGGTTTCCCTGATAGCTTAGTTGATACAGAATCTGTCTGCAATGCAGGAGACCCTGGTTTGAATCCTGGGTCTTGAAGATCCACTGGAGAAGGGATAGGCTACCCATTCCAGTATTCTTGGGCTTCCCTTGTGGCTCAGCTGTTAAAGAATCCAGCTGCAATATGGGAGATCTGGGTTCAATCCCTGGGTTGGGAAGATACCCTGGAGAATGGGAAGGCTACCCACTCCAGTAATCTCCCTGTTAATGCTCCATCAACATAAATTACAATTTTAGTTTGAATGTCGTTGTCCAAATACTATATTAAAAACATTGCTTATTGAGATTTGAGGTATTAAGAACTACTTAGAATTTCATTTCTATATAAGTAAGAAGCATATACATTTTTTTTTTCCTTTGAAGACAGTAAATGGAAGAGCAGGTAAATGATGTCTCTACTGTTCTCCTTAACCTTACTGCAATATGTGGAGGATGCAATGAATAGTAAGTATTTAAGTTCACTTTAATGTGAAGATGAACTTAAAAACTTCTTTGGTAAGACATCTAAAGCAATCTGTAGAATTGGAAATGAAGCATGAAAATATGGAGTGATATATATATCACTTACCTTCTCAATCTGGTAATAAGGTCTATAAATTACTTTTCCCAAGCATTCATTTTTATTGCTCTGATGCCGGTTATGACTTCACTCGTGGTCCTGATCCTGTCATCTGTGAAAGCTGTGGTCTTACTCCTAAGGGGACAGTTGTGAGAGATTAGTCTTACTGATCACAGCCCAACTTTCTGTGGCAGCAGCAGTAGTAGTGGGCATGGGGGCTCAGGGGCGGGGGGTGGTGATTAGGAAGCAAATGATTCTCTATAGTCCTTTTGCACTTAGAACACAGGCAGGTTCTACTCAAAGTACAAATGGAGGAAAAGGGTTCAATTAGGAAGCGAACCATTCAGCCTGCTTGAAGACATAACTTGGAGAACATGCAGCATCAGCTAAGGAAGACATAAAATGAGTCAGATATAAACCATCTGCTCAAGGAGGTCATGGTCAGGTAGGGAAGGCAGAAAGACACCCAGGAAGGCAGAGTCTGTGCTGTAATAAAATAGGAGAGAAGTTCTGTGGATCAGAAAAGATGGGACTGTTAAATACACTGTGAAAGGAGAACAAGAAGAGCGTCAGAGAGCTGGTAGCACTGGGACATGGCCTCGAAGGATAAGGAGCATCTCTCCACAGCAAAAACAGGAAAGGAAATTCCAAACAGAGAAAGACACCAAGCACAGACCTGCACACACACAACACACACAAGAGCTCAATGACCTTCAAATAGCACATCTCCATCACCTGACAACCACCCACCTCCAGCCCTCTGGGGCCTGCTTCAGTCTAACTCAGCACCAGAAGGCTCTTCAACATCAGCCTCTTATCTATCACACGTGCTGCTGTGAATGTGGGGCTTTATAAAGACACAATGAAGATCAGCCTGGCCCTTGGGGTGCTTATAACTTAATGGCAACATGAACATAAAACTTGAAAAGGCTCCAACACAAGCATAACAGAAATATATGTGGTGAGAAACAGGGGCCTACAAGATTATTACTATTTACCAATATTTAACTAATTTGGACATGGGTAAATTCTGCTGAAGGATATTCTACTTATTCAGATATGGTGCCAAGAGCAGCAAGTGAATGCTTTCACTGTTTCTGTTTCAGAGTCAGCCTTCAGCTTAAGCCTGGAGCCTTCACTGGTTAAGCCTGAAGGGTCTACAACCCACACAAAGAAGAGACCAGAGAAGGCATTTGTCTTGTTTTTGAACAAAAGTATCAAGCAGACTGTGGATGTTACCAATTACATATTATCAATTTTTAAAACCAGTGTTTCTCTTACCTAAGTGAGGAAAACAACTTCCTGAAGCAGCTTTGCAACAGCAGAAGAATAATGAGAACCGCCATCCCAGCAAGACATGATATTCCTATTTCCATCCAGAGCAGGGCGGTCACTGCAATGCATTGTAGTGGCCCCACCCACAGATAGTGCAAGAACATCATTACCTTAAAATAGAAAGACAAAACCTTCTTAAGATGGTGTAAAAACCAATAGTGACACAGTGTAGAAACAATCTCCTCTGAAGGAATACACAGGAACCTAAACAGAAACGATCTCAGTGGGATTCAAACCTGCTAAAATAGAAATCCAAGCATCCACCCCAGATGATGCCATTCAGGGGCAGCACAGGGCTGGCTTAAGGGACATCCAGGGAGAATCAGACCAGCAGCACTGAAGGGAGATGCCAATTTTGTCCAAAACACAGATGAGCCAACCTCAGTTTAGATGCTCAGTCATCTCTGATTCTTTGTGACCCCATGGACTGCAGCACACAAAGTGTGTGTGGAGCATGCTAAAACTCATGTCCATCAACTCAATGATGCCATCCAACCACCTCATCCTCGGTCATCCCCTTCTCCTCTTGCCTTCAATCTTTTCCAGCATCAGGGTCTTTTCCAATGAGTTAGTTCTTTGCATCAGGTGGCCAGAATATTGGAGTTTCAACTTCAGCATAAGTCCTTCCAATGAATATCCAGGACTGATTTCCTTTAGGAAGAGCTGGTTTGACCTCCTTGAAGTCCAAGGAACTGTCAAGAGTCTTCTCCAACACCATAGTTCGAAAGCATCAATTCTTTGTCATTCAGCTTACTTTATAGTCCAACTCTCACATCCATACATGTCTACTGGAAAAACCATAGCTCTGACTAGACGGACCTTTGTTGGCAAAGTACTGTCTCTCCTTTTTAATATGCTGTCTAGGTTGGTAATAGCTTTTCTTCCAAGAAGCGTGTTTTTTGTTTTGTTTTGTTTTTTATTTCATGGCTGCACGCATCATTTGCAGTGATTTTGGAGCCGACAAAATAGTGTCTCTCATTGTTTCCATTGTTTCCCAGTCTATTTGCCATGAAGTGATGGGACTGGATGCCATGATCTTTGTTTTTTTAATGTCAAGTTTTTAACCAGATTTTTTTCACTCTCCTCTTTCATTTTCATCAGTTCCTCTTCAGTTCAGTTCAGTTTCTTCAGTTCCTCTTCACTTTCTGCCATAAGGGAGGTGTCATCTGCATATCTGAGGTTGTTGATATTTCTCCTGGCAATCTTGATTCCAGCTTGTGCTTCATCCAGCCTGGCATTTCACATGGTGTACTCTGCATAGAATTTAAATAAGCAGGGTGACAATATACAAACTTGGTGTACTCCTTTCCCACTTTGGAACCAGTCTGTTGTTTCATATGCAGTTCTAACTATTGCATATTGACCTGCATACAGATTTCTCAGGAGGCAGGTAAGGTGGTCTGGAGTAACCATCTCTTGAAGAATTTTCCACAGTTTGTCATGATTTACACAGTCAAAAACTTTGGTGTAATCAATAAAGCAGAAGTAGATGCTTTTCTGGAATTCTTTTGCTTTTTTGATGATCCAGTGGATGCTGGCAAGTTGATCTCTGGTTCCTCTGTCTTTTCTAAATCTAGCTTGAACCTCTGGGAGTTCATGGTTCACATACTGCTAAAGCCTGGCTTGGAGAATTTTGAACATTACTTTACTAGCATGTGAGATGAGTGCAATCATGCGCTCATTTGAACATTCTTTGGTATTGCCCTTCTTTGGGATTGGAATGAAAACTGACCTTTTCCAGTCCTGTGGCCACTGCTGAGTTTTCTAAATTTGCTGGCACGTTGAGTGTAGTACT